GAGAGAAGGAAGGATGATAATCCCACACACTGAGTGGGATGATGCAGACAGAATGAAATGATCTTTATGACTTGGCTCTAGAGTACTGCTTTGAATCCTAGCTCCCACTTCCCATCAGGGTGATCTTCCTTGGATAAGTTCCTTTGTCATTCTCTGCTTCTATTTCCTTTTCTCAAGTATGAAGGTATAAAGGTATCCTCCTCAAGGTTGTGAGTAGAATTACAAGCTTTGATAAAGATACTGTGATTACAACCACATCTGACACTTAGTATCTGGCACTTAGTAAATGCACAACAAATAGTTTTGACAATGCTGGTGACAAGTGATGATTGTAGTAGATTACAAAAATGCCGGATGATATTTCCTTTATTAAATCTGGCTAGTGTAGCGATTTGATTAACCAATAGGAATTTAGCACAAGCGATGCAAGCAGGGCCCTGAAAAATATTTGTGCATTGGAGCCGGCTCTCTCATCGCTTTGAGGACTTTACAACCATGATCACGGAAAAAGTCTGAGCTAGCCTGCTGGAGGATGAGAGACCTTGGCCTGGTCACTCCAGTCTCCTTGGCTACTAGCTTACGTACAGCTAGACACATGGTAAGGCCACCCTAGATCCTCCAACTGCCAGTCCAACAACCGCCACAGATGCACAAGAGCCCAGCCAAAAACGATTGATAAAGACTAGGAGGCTCACTCAATCAATCTGCAGGACCATGAGCTAAAGAAATGATTGTTATAAGAAGTCCCTACAATGACTGTTGAAATGATGATACATTGGGCACAATGCTGAATATAGTGGACCCTTGAGTTATAACCGGCCTGACACATAAACAACTTGGGTTACAACTGAAATTTTAGTTTTAACTTATGACCAAAGTCTTGAGTTACAACCCAAATACTGGCTGCTTGTACTTCTAGATGGTCTCAGATACAGATTTAACCCTTAAACATTTCAACATCCCTTCCTGTATGAAGTTAATTGAGGAACTGGAGCCACTTAGAGGAATCCAGGTCCCTCTAAGGACACTGAGATCTATTTGCCTGCATACAGACGTGAGACTTTGAAGGCTGTGTAGAGGAGCCCAAGCCTTCAATTGACCAACCTGAGTTAAAACCAGACCTTGGGAATTAATTGAGTTCATAAGTCAAGGGTCCACTGTATTTTAATTACGTAACAAATGATTCCAAGAACCAATCCTATGAGAGCAATTTCATTTTGAAGAAGGGAAGGTAATCTTATAGGGGTAGAGAAATACAGTTAGCCTTACACAGCTAGTAAGAGGCTAAGCCAGGATTAAAGCCCATATTTCTCCAACTCTGTAGGCCAGCTTTATCCATCATGCGATACTTGTCACCCCCACAGCTCAACAGTGGAATTTAGATTCCATTATTTGCCAAGGGGTTTAAATGATGTTCACACTACTGTTGTTATTGTTTTTATTCATCATTAGTTCCTCTCATGGTCACCCTAAATTACTTTTGAAAATAGTTACGACCAAATAAATTTCCTTTACATGGAGATTAATAGTTTTAAATTAAAAGAAAAGAATTTGTAAACTTTATCTCTGATGATTAATGTGATAGTAGAAAATGCTCAAAAGAAGACAGAGCCCTACCCATTATGGGCCAGTATCATTTTCGAGATGAAATCAACATGTCCTAACACAGTGGCCAAGCTTGCAATGAATTAATTAATTCATTCATTCATTCAACAAACCAATCACATGTACTGATCGCATACAGTCTGCCAAGCCCAACTGCTGATGATCCATACATGAGATCATCATTATTCTCTAATACAGTTAGGTTCTGTTCCCCTCCTTCTTATTAGTGTTATTTTCACTAGTGATTATATCTTCTTCTAACAGCACCCTCCCCTTCCCTATCATGTGATTTTCAAAGGTCCTTTGTGCTAGAAAAACAAACATGTTTATCTAACTCTTTATTAACTGTGAGTTAATAAGTAGATAATAAGGTAGAGGTGTTCCTCCTAGCATAAATTGTAAATGCTCTGTGCTATGGTTTGGAATCCTCTTTTACTGCTCCCTTATATTCCTAACCTCTAGAACTAGAAGCAGTGTCATAAAAGGCTGAAGATGATGGAGATTTGATTTTGGATGGGTTCCTGTGTGTAAACAAAAGACAATGATACGAGAATCAACAAATTCCCTAAGAGCCAACAAAAGCAAGGCTGTTGGAGGAGAGTAACAGCTGTGGCAGCTTGGAAACCTAGTGGCAGGGATGGGGAGCAGGACTTTGGCAGCAGGCTGCATTTCCTCTGCTCCTGATTCCACATTCCATTCCAGTGTCTGTGTGGAGAATTCCATTCTACTGAGAGTATTCAGATCACACGCGAGACACTGACCAAACAGAACTCCAAAGAGCCAAAAATAAAGGTTTTGCTTGCCCCAGGCTAATTAACCAGAGCAGTGCCACTGACTTCTAAGGAAGGAAGCCAAACTTTTATCACTGCAGGAACATTTAAGGAGGAATGTGAGAGGATAGCCCAGAACAGGTGACAATCTGGGGATTTCACAGCTACAAACGCCCTTCCACACAGTTTCTTCTAATTCACATTTTACCCTTTCATTAAAATTTTGCCTGCTCTGTGTAGTCTTTTCTGGGCTACAGTAAGAAATAATCATATTATTTCCTGTGTTCCTCTATAAAACCCTATAATGGCCCTTCCTGCAAAATACAGAAATTATTGTTTACTCTTATTCCAGACTATGAGTGCCCACAAGTGCAGGGGTCATATCTTCCTTCAACACTGTGTTCCTTAGCTCAAGGCACACTGCTTAGCATGCTGAAGGCAGTGGAGGATGGTTGCAATGGAGAAATACAGTGGACCCCTGACTTAGGGACTCAGTTCATTCCTGAGAGCTGCTTGTAACTCTGGTCAATTGAAGGCTCAGGCTCCAAAGTTTCTCTCAGCCTTCAAAGCCTCTCTCCTGTATACAGGCAGATTTCAGTGTCCTTAGAGAGTCACTGGCCCAGGATTCCTTAATTAAGCCCATATAGGAAAGGATGTTCTAA